CTGAACAGTGAATAGGACGCTCGTATTAACAAGCTCGAGCGTACTGTGTCAATTTAGCATTTAACATACCATACTTGTGTACACGCATTACTCCACTGTGGCGAATGATGGTGCTCTACCTCTTAGTTTTTGAATGGGGAAGAAGTTCTGTTTCAACACTCGCACATTTAGGCACACACTCACACCTCCACATAGTGAACCCGGACGTAACGAAATATCGGTTATAACGGAGTACATGAAAAACAGTCTTGCAATAGATATAGTGTTGGGAATGTACCTTTATAATGAATTGTCGGTTATAACGAACCGATTTTCGTGCAAGATGCGACTTCGTTATACCGAGCTTTGAGTGTGTGTGCTTGTCTTTTTATATTTTACAGAAGCATATAGCAGGGTATTGCAGTGAAGCTGAGGCTAAAGGAAAAGTTTCATACACTCTGCATTTACAAAATATAGCTTGCTCATCAGCATTGTGCATTTGCGACTAGTGCATGCGGGTTGCGTGTGCGAAAATACAGTACGTCAAGATGCATTTTCTCGAGGCAGCATTTTATGCACGGTGCCAGGTTGGAGTGTTTCTGCAGTCACGTGACGATTCTCAGGAACTGATTTTTTGGGTGGGTGTGTTAGTGTCTGTGCAAAATGTGGTAGCAGTGCAATAGAATGTTGGTGCTCGAATGTAGAAATACTCAGGAAGTGCCTTATTTTGTAAATGAATACAACCACTGTCGGTGCTAGCCTTGAATTATTTCAGGCATTCCTTTTTCTTGTTAGAAATGTCCACTTTTTGTAGACATGGAGAGTATTTTAGGTCTCTGTACGCATTCCTGACATTGAATAAACCATTTTTCCTGCCTTTTACCTCATTTTACATTGTACTGTCTTTGTACCAGCTGTATTTGTTGATGACAAAGTTATTGTTACTTGCTTAAAAATAAGACCAAACGGTAACTCAATACATTCAGTTACAACTTAAGAAAAAGGTCTCCCTTCAATATTTTACTTATAATTCATGACGTCAAGCACTTCTGTATTTTTCATATCGCTTTCCCATAAGAACAAGTTAGCCATTAGTTATAGATCAGAGACTTGGAACATCCTGGTTAATTTCGCTAAATGTACGTGACGTTTGGTGTTTTCAAGTCTTGCGTGGTGTGTGCTAGAGATCTGCCATTTTCACTTTTTTTTTGTTTCACTGTACTGGATACATAGAAATGTGATAAGTGCCAACCTATTGTTAGTAGCATGAAACCGCTCGGACATTTAGATGAATTTTTTAGATTGGAAATTTTCTCAGCAGAAGAGAAAATAGTCTTGGTTCTGATATCGAACCAGTCGGATCAGGACCTTGTTTGGGTTATCGCTCTACCCTTAAAGCTAACGAGGATGGCAGCATTTTGCAGCCCATGGCCTAATTAATCAACAACTCGAAGCACATGGACACAGAACATAGCAAATAATGGCAGTTTTCTCTTTCATGATTTTTCTGCCAAATTGCAGGACTATGTGGAACTCAATTTCAATAACCAGTAATATAGTAACTCGAACTTCAATGTAATGAAGCTTATTATAATGAAATATTAATTATAATGAAGTAAAGAAAAATAGTCTTGAAATAAATATAGTGTATAAATTAGTGTGTAAAGTTTTTGGCTATAACGAACTTTTTGTGTAAGATGCAGTTTTGTTATACAGTCAACTCTCGTTAATTCGAACTCGAAGGTACCTCTGAATTTCGTTTGAATTATCAAGAAGTTTGAATTATGAGAAGTTCCCAAATAGATGACTCTGGGTGAGGCAACACCACACATTATGATTAGGCATTGATTTTATCTCATTTAAAATTTTTTAAAGTGTTTTTAAGCTCTAATTGCACACAACGAATAGAAAGCAGAGGGAGGAGTAAGGTCCACAAGTTTATTGGCCATTTACTGCTGATCAGATCTTTTAATGATTTGCCAACTGCTTCTTTACTATAAGTAGGTGCCTTGGGCACAAGGCTTTCTCTACAAGTTGAGAAGCATGACGATTTACCATGCGTGTGCTTTGTTTCGAACACTTGTTTACTAGCGAAGCCTTTTTTTTTTTTTTTGAAGGCCTGAGGTGTTTATTTTTCATTTTTAGACATTCTGGATTATATAAGCAGGCAAATTTTTAAATTGTGGCGGGAAAGCAGCACATATTTTCTGGTATGAAACTGCAAAAAGTATGAAATAACCAAACAATGGTGTTCGAATTAAGAGACTTTCAAATACATTGAAAGAATAGAGGGCCAACCTAAAAGCTTAATTTTGTTTGAATTACCCGAAACTTTGAATTATCAGAGTTTGAACAATTGAGAGTCTACTGTAATAAGGTTTGAGTGTGCTTCAGAGGCAGCCAACGCAGTGCTTTTTGCAGGCAGTGTGGCAGGCGAATGAGAAAGTTGTTGCCTATTTAAATAAATAAACACCACACATTACATGCAAGGAATAAGCAGTTCACTTGTGTACATCACAATGACTTGCAGTTTTCTCTGAACAGATTGTGCTCTGATGATGCACCTCGATTAAAATTTCACTGCTCCGTCGCGAGGCATTTCTCTGAAACATTTTATAAATGTGAAATTTCTTTGAGTACTGTAAGCACTTTTGACATCTATCTGCGTATCTAACTATGTAGCCGCTTACGTCTGCGTGCTCTCGTGATCACCCCCTTAACTCAGTGAGAACCAAAACAATATGGGAGGATAAGATGGTATGATGAATCTGACGCACTGGTCAACACATGAATAATGTCTCAATCCCATCACGTACATCGTCAAACACTTCTCTCCTGACAGTGGCGAATGCCTGGGGGCGGGTATGTGCCACTGGTATACTGGTGCGTGCCACAGGTGATTGAAACTTAGCATCTACCCAGAAACGACGAGAACACACCTGGGCAATTTTAATGTGTTAACGTTAAGAAAATAAAAGTTTATCCAATCCAATCCAGCAGGAATCGAACCCAAGCATTCTGCATGGCAATCAAGCATTTTACCAGATAGCCATGCCAGGCCTCAGAGCATGCTTTTCAAATAGACCCTAATGTTTATGAAACGTCAGTTGTGGTTGCAGTGCTGGCTGATTTTATAAAGCTTATATATCTACTTTTTTTATACAGCCGTCATGTCGGGTTAACATAAATTGTAGTTGGGCGCCGTGCGCTGGATTGATTTATGTAGCTGTGTCCATGGCTGCCGTTCTCGCGAGCACCAGTGCTTGATATGAGGTTATCGCTTCTGGTATTGCCAACGCTCATGTTCCTGTTGACATCATTGCACAAGTGCAAATAACTGTTTATATAGGCACCTGCAATTGGTCAACATACGTCTGTGCGTGCCACATTTATACATATTGTTTGGTAACAACTTTATTGGAAGTCCGGCAGAGCTTTCACAGACCGGGCCTTAGGTTCCCGCATGGGGACGTCAAGACCTTGCCTGACTGCCCCTTCGCAGGCCTGCTGGACGGCCCAGAGTTGGTCACCGAGGCTGGGGCTGCAAAGGGCAGCGGCCAAACGCGGCGGAAGGGTTCCAGATTTAGCACCTTGCGGATTTCTGCCGCAGTCCCAGAGCATGTGATTTAATGTGGGAACCTCAATGTGGCATATCTTGCATATATTCGTCGGATATATATTGGGGTATTGTTGTTAAACATCAATGGGTTGGGATAGGTGTGCGTCTGCAGCTGTCATAGGGCTGCCGCTTGCATCCAGTTCAGCTTCTTGTTGGGTGGAGGAAAGGTTGAGCGGGCCAGGTACAAAGCCTTGGTAATTTCGGTATAGGTCGTCAAACGGTCTTTGGTGTTTCCCCATAGAGGACGGTCTGCGGCGCGGTTCATGAGCTCGCGAGATGGCGCGAAGGTCTCGTGTTGGGCGCGCTCTAAAGGTTGTCGCTTCTCGCTTTTCGGCAAGCGCCGCCTCCGCAGAGCATGGTCTTTCCTGCATGCGCCCTGAACAGACTCGTGGTTCCAGTAAGCACGAAAGTGACTTCGCTTGCTGCCGCGGTCGGGAAGAAGCAAGAATTGTGGCAGTTGTTCGCACTTGTCCGGTGTATACTTGTGCGTTTGTTTCGTGCGTCTTTCTATCAGTTTGAACAGCGCACTTTAAATGTCGAGCTGTGAGTTGTTAGTCCGCGCTCGTACTGCGTATGCTCATCTCAGGCGCGATTTCTGCTTGAGGTGCGCGCTGCAAGTTTCGAGGTGCTTGCGGTTTCTCGCGTGACATTGAAATTTGTTGCTGTAGCATTCATTCTTTCGCTCTTGTGGCGAAACAATGCACAATAAACCCTGAAGCCCTTGTGAACACGCGCTCAGTAACAAAATTACAACACGGTCACCTTCACATGCTTTGCATAACGTCGATTCCCAAGGTACCTGGGATCTGCCGAATTTTCTTTGCTTTCGGAGCATCTGGGAAATGCTACAATTTAGCTGATGTTGATCTGTATCGTACAGCTCCTTAGTGTGGAAACTCTACTGCTCTGCTTTCTGGAGTGATAGTGCTGTCAAGCATTTACGTAAAGCCTCATCTACTATTCCTGTGGACTGTTTTTTTCAGATTTTCCATGGCACACCCACTGCCATTAATAATAGCATAACCTCAGGCCGAACTATCGATTACTGCGGCTTCACGCACCATTTGTTAAGATGTGTTGAACAAAAACATACAAAATGGCCACTAGTTTGTCTCCAATGAAGGCATGGAACATATGTAGCCTCGGTAACATACAATATTCTGTATAAGAAGTTTGTATCATGTTACAACTTCGTGGTAGAGTACAAACAGAAACTAGCTTTTAAAAAGCATGTTATAATTAATTTTTACAGGTGCACTCATGCGTAGCAGCACATATTCCAGGTTCTTGGAAGTTTTGATGGCCAAACTTTCATTTGACACAGAAGAGGAACAACGAAAAAATTATTGTGTAGATGGATACCTCTCAACGTGCTTGCAACAAAAAGTCTCAACACAGAGCATTGTTTTTGTATGGACATAAGAGTACAGTATTTCTTTATTTTACAAAGGAGGCCAGCTGTACAAAAAGGGCCAATGTGAAAGCATCGGGATTTGAGTCGGTTCATTGTTTTTGTATGGACATAAGAGTACAGTATTTCTTTATTTTACAAAGGAGGCCAGCTGTACAAAAAGGGCCAATGTGAAAGCATCGGGATTTGAGTCGGTTCAGTGTTGTGTGGAGGGAAGTGGTCTGTACAAAGGGAGTGGAGCGAGAACAGCCTGTTTCACGTTGGCGCTGGACTTGTCGGCCGAGACTCGCCGACTGAGAGGATTCCCTGGGCCGTCAGGATCTTCCCGTGCCGGGTCTTTAGGTGCCTCTTGTACGTGTTGCGCGTCTTGAACCTGGGGCCAAGAAATAAATAATTGTGCGTTAGTTCATCATCGGCCTGACTACGAGCACCGCAGAGGAAAAACCTCTCATGTTTCGCCAGTCAACCCTGCCCCGAGCAACATGCGGCCACGTTATTTCCGCAGACTTCCTAATCTCATCAGCCTGCCCAACTTTCTACCTCCCACTTGCTCTTGCCTTCTACCGAAATTCAGTTTATTATTCTAGACGACCAGAGGTTATCTTGCCTTTGCACTCCATGCATTGCCGTTTTCTTCTTAATTTGGACTAAGACGTCCCTAACACACGCGAGTACCCTGAGCCCTTCTACTCTCTTGTCACTCAAAGATTACACGTACCATTTTTTTCTTTTCACGGCTCATTGGGACATCATAAGACCAAACTGAACATTTTTCATAAGCCTCCAGGTTTCTGTTTCTAGGTAAGTACTGGTAAGATGCAGCTGTTAAATACGGTAGTACTTTTTTCTTGAGGGATGCTGGTACACTACCATGCGTAATCTGAGAATGCGCGCCAAATGAGCTCTGCACCATTGTGTTTCGTGGTTCAGCTCCACAGTTACTACCTGTTCTTTTACTACCTGTCCTCATACTTATGCTCTCCAGTACATCCTCTAGGCCCTTAAGTTCTTGGTCTTTCATTCAGCACAAGAAAACAACAAAAATTTCGTGTCAGTATACCTAAAGCTTAAAGCACTTCCCACTGGGCCACCAATGTATGCACTCAAACCTCGATATCACGAACCTGAATATAGTGAAATATTGGTTATAACAAAGTGAATGAAGAATAGTCTTCAATAGTCTTTTTTATAATGACATTTGAGTGCGTTATTTTCTTTAGAGAGCTTTACAGAAACCTCTAAAGCACTTCTATAAAAAGCACACCCACTTTTGGTTGCAATCGGTGCACTGGTAAGGGGTCTCGCCCGTGTGCCGGCGCAAGTGCTCCTTGAAGTGGCTCGGGTGCCGGAAGTGGCGGCCACAGTCCTCGCACTCGAAGCGGCTCTTGTTGTTGTGAATCAGCATGTGGTAGTTGAGGCTGTGTTGCCGCGTGAAGGTCGCCTCGCAGATCTTGCAGTTGAAAGGCTTGATGCCTGTCAGCGAGAAGTAGCCAAAAAAGATGGGACTCGTCAATGCCGAGTGAGCGCCGAAGTTACACCAGCTGCGTATTTCCCCTGAACAGGTGCTTTCACAAATTAGCATCCCTCCACTACAGCGAACCACCTTTACATGTTCGATCGTTTTGAATCATTCCAAATTTTCAATAATTCAAACTTCATTCGAAGCATTATTCCTTCGAATATTTTAATCATTTGAATAGTAGCACAAGCATACACAACCCTATGTGTGATGTATGCATCACTGGAAGAAATGACAGAAAAGACGACAGCCCTTACCGGCATGGCTGCGATAGTGGTACATGAGGGTGGCCTGGGCCGTAAACACCTTGGTCTTGCAGATCTTGCACACCAAGGGACCCCGCTCGTCGCGCCGCTTGTTCCGCAGGGCCTTGATGTGCTTCAGTGCCACTTTCTGCAATAAAAGAAAAAGCACAAACGCGAGACTCTCAGCAGCCGCAAGAGATGTGGAAGACAATTGGCGACAGGTTGATCATTGGCCGCGCCTGGAACCCCCTACCCTTCAAACAAAGACAAAGTGGGCAGCACGCACCGGAAGAGCAAATCTGAGTCATGGTGGGGCTGTTGGTCTTTCAGCGAGCCCCGGCTAGTTAAATCTTAGCTATAATTAACCAGTCTTAATTAACAAAGTGGAATTATTTAGGTTTTATTGACAAACTACAGTTAATGAGGCTTAATTAGTAAAATCTGGCCACAAGAAACTTAAGCATCTTGGGTGGGCTTGCTTCGATCGCACAACTTCATCCTAATGCGCACTTATTTAGACTTAATTAGGGTCGAAGCAATTGGTATCTTCCTCAACTTGGCTTCACTAGCCGTGTTGAGAATTCCAACTAGGATTGCTTGCTTTCTGTGGCACACACCTGTTCCTGATGCTGCAAACAGGCATAATGAGAAGTTTCACAGCTCCACAGCAAAACACCCGCTTACCCTTTCGAGACTGGTCTCGGCGACCTGCACAGCAACTCCTCTCCGGCCCGGCAGTCGGGCACGGCCCTTAGCCGCGGGATGTTGCAACTGCGGCTGTTTGCTCCGCTGCTCCTCCTCTTCCTCGTCGTCATCCTCGTCTTCATCATCATCGTCATCATCTGAAGACGGGAGCATAGGGCTCAGGGTACGCCGTTTCACGTAGCCGCCCCCAGGAGTGGTGATCTCGATGATCGACGACGTGTTGGGCAGCAGCGGCACGTACACGTAGGGAAAGGCGGGTGTGGCGATCACGGACTGGCTCGGGATGACAGGGCGCCGCTCGACGCAGTCCCCGCACAGCTCTTCCAGCTCGCTGTCGGAGTCTGCGGGCATTCAAGCAATGCTCATGAGATTACACGCAAGCTGTGATGACAAGTTTTTACCAAAAAGAAAAACAACCTATCAGAACTTATAGATGATAATTATCTTACGCCAGTGTCACACGGGAGCTTCTGATTGTAACTGACGCAATTCCAGATCAGGTGCTGTTACATGGTCACGTTAACATTAAAGGGCCTTTAAACCACCTAAGGTCGAAATTCGGTTCTGGTGGAAAGTTGTGTGCGACTGTACAACGAACACAAGGACATGAGAATATTTTGAAGCCGCGCCGTAATAGCGGAGTTAGACTCGTCTGATTATTGAAATGTGGAGATTGCTTCTTTCACTTTTTTCCTTCGCTGCACTCCGTCAGTATCCTCTCCGAAAAATGCTTTGCCCTCTTACTAAGTGCACGAAGGTGCACATGTGGTCTGTGCGAGGCTGGCGGAAATGCGGAGAAGAGCGTATTCTGAGGGGAAGCGGCGCATGCGAGCAACACGACGGACAGCAAGGAGCACAGACAGCTGCTTGCAGACTAACTGGAAGTCATAGGTTCTAGCTTCACTGATCACAGCATTGTTTGCGCTACCCATCAGAGATTTAACTTCTTGGCATCACATGGAGGCCAGAAAGGCCCGCATAGGAGGAGAGCTTAGCCCACAGAGTGGCCAGACCCCTTCCCCTACCCAACTCACCCACTGCAAGCGGGCAGCCGGGCCCCCAGTAGCTGTGGTCCCGCCTGACCACGTGTGCCTCCCAGGTTTCGGTGAGGATGCGCGGTGGCTTGTCCTCCTTGACCCGTGGTGCACTGTGGAGCTTGTTGGCCACGGACGGGGCCTTGACCTTATTGCTGGGCGTCGTCAAGGACTTCACCGCTACCTACCGAAACAAATATTGAAAGGAATGCCTTATATGCCACATCAAGTGGGTACCATCGACATTGATGAGACAAGTGATAAAAATATCACATGACATCACTTAAGACCAGTATTGAACATTAAATTAGACACTGAAAAGCAATGAGTGGTGAAATGAGAATATTTAAATGTAATTACATATAGTTACATTTAAATTGACAGTAATTTATAGTAATCGGGGATGAACTGAGGCATTATTTAAAATACAACATTTAATTTCAAAATGCACAGTAATACAGCCACATTAGATTATGTCTAGTTTGAAAAGTGACCCTGCTAGTTTACTTTCGTTGCAAGAATGGGAACACCATCTGGAACATATTGAAATTATATATTTTATAGGAGTGCCCGAATACTTAAAAATTTATTAGGAGCCAATTGAAATTTAATGTTGAACTGAACAGCCACTATTGGTGAATCGGGAAGTTTTTGTAATAGTTTACAAATAGCATATCAAGAAAATTTGGTGCACTGCATAAAAATATTCAAAAGCACTTAAAGTCAAAGTGCTGGCTGGGTTCTAATATTAACTGCAGACTGCTATCTAGCCATCTACGAGTTGTGGACCCAGCCGATGCGCACGTGAACTACACTGACCTTGAGCATGGGCCGACCATTTTTGCCTTCCGGCTTCGCCAGGGACGACTTGGCTTGGCTTTTCACTCGGGCCTGACTTTTCTTGATGACTGTTTTGGGGGGAGGAGGAGTGTGCGGGGCCGTCACGGTGCCGTTTGTTCGCCGCTCTTTTTTGCTCACTGCCGGAAGCTGCTTGGGCTGGGGCCTTTTACGCTTCCGGCCGGTTCCCTCGCTTTCTACAACAAAGGGAAAAAAAACAATGGCGAGGTGCGTTTCATGCAACATACATAGTGACGAAACTGGAAATCGAACTAAGCCTGAAAATCGAACTAAGTCTGAAAGAACATTTCAGAGACACAGGGGCAGAGTGGGAAGATGCTATTAGGTTTAGTACCCTTCAAGTTTTGAAGCTTGCGCTTCCTATTTTTTACATGGGAGGGGTCTTTGTCCTGCAGTGGGCATAGTCAGGCTGATTGCGATAATGACTTTCTACACACACCTGCATTTCGTTTCTGGCTGCAAGCGTCTGGTATCTATGAAGCGCACAGAAAACGGAAGCAAGCGCATGCGTGTTCTAGTGCTGGCGCTGCAGTCTGTGACCTTTGAGACCACAAGGTCCACACTCCTTGTCACATAACATAGGGGCAGGGGGCTTGGCCAGCTGGAATTGCATATGCACAGTTGCTACTTATAGGTCTTTTTAAATGCGTATTTTGAAGGTATCGATCGGAGCGGTGAAGCAGGGCGAAGGGCAGCATTTTACTGGCGCCCAGCGTGGAGTGAACCCTGACCCCATTTGAATGCAGCGTGCGTCGAACTCCTAATCTGGCTGGCTTAGTTGCATGCAACAAATGGCTTGACCCTTTTCGAATCGTTGACGGCCCCTGCCCGACAACGCAACACAGCCACAGCGGTCCACTGTCGGGCACCGCTAGGCAGGTTATTTCGCAGTTGATTCAAGCGTGCGTTTTCCAACTACATCATGTGCCATCTGTAGAAGATAAGGCGGACTTCTACCTGAGCTTTGAGTTTTCTAGCTTCACACAGGAACAGATAGTAGACGGAAAATTTTTTCAAATCGCGAGGGGTTCACCTATAGGAGCACTTTTCACAAAAACTGGAGGGAGCGGTAATTATTAATTTTTTTTATTGCTATCGGCCTAAGCAAATGGTTCAGCTACTTTGCATTCAAGACCTCTGGTTAGTTACCAGAGATATTGGATTCCACTAATACATCACATGAATCAAGTGGCCACAGTGCCCCCCCCTCTATTTTTTTTTTTCTTTCAGATTTCACTTTCTCGCATAGTTCATTTTCACTGCTGTCCAGGGGTTTCAAAGTGATCAACTCACCTTGGAGACGCCGCTTTCGGGCCTGCAGGGGTTCCGCCATGAACGGCGGCTTGCCCTGTCGTCCAGGTGCTGCACGAGATAAAACATTTCGCGAGGGTCAAGCGACAAGCCGGCTGCTTCAGGGCGAGAGCTTCCAGCACGGAGACCAGCACTGCGCACATGCTGACCTGCAAAAGCTGTTGGTTTTATTTTTTTTTATGCAAATTCCGTGTGCCATTCAAGAAGACCTTTTTCCAAAGGGGTGACATGGCAGCATTGCTAGTTGGGCGAGTTTGAATGTGTCGTTCGTAATGGTAATGAGTCCGAACACTAGGCAAAACAACAAGTGAGAGGGTTGTGCTACTTAAATACCAATCACCATTACCATTATTTTCAAGTACCATTCCCTTTCTTATGTAGCAGCATGCTGCCTAAGTGACATTCTGGGGGCTTAATTTTCTTGCTCAAAATGAGACTCAATTTGCCAGTGTTATTGGCTTATAATCTACTAAGTGAGAAAAATAGTGTTTGTCTTTAGTGTTAGCATAGAAAGCCACACTTTTTTTGTCTCAAACAAGACATGATAGATGAAACATTCTACAATCTTGCTGATAGAGCAGGAGGCTCCCTCACCGTTAGCTTCGGCCAGGAGCTCAGCGATGTGAGACAGGAGGTGCGACTTCATCTGGCTGCGGGCCTTGTGCTCATTGCCGAAACTGGAGAAGGTCTCAGCACACGCGCTGGGCATGAGGTAGCAGCGATAGCTGAAGGTGCGCCGCATCTCGTTGCTCGTAAACTCTGAGAAACTCTCCAGGAGCACTCGGTCCGAGAGGATGCGGATTTGGTCCAACACCAGCGCGTCCGCTTGCTGCGCCGACTTGCGCGCCTAAAATAAAACGCGCGCTGTTTGTGGGTGATGTTGTGCACCAAAAGACCATCCTCTATGACAAGCGAAAAATAATGTTTGTTGTATAGACGACAACAATTACATATGTGGTCATCACGGTGCATTAAACAGCCTCAGATATATTTTTTAAAATTTCGAGTAATACAGACATTGAGTTCGGAGCGGTATCATAACTAGCAGTGCTGCACGTGGCAGCACCACGTGTTGCAGGGTGCGCTGTGCCACAAAGTAAAATAAATAATAATAAAGATACGCATTTACCCTCTTACGGCATTACAGTATCGTCAGTACTGACTGCGACGTGACCACTCGTGCCTAATAGTGTCAGCAACGAAAAGAGCCTCTTTGTTTGCTTACAGTTATGTGTGTTCGCTACTCGTCCTTCCCGCATAGCGAGGAGGAAGACTCGGCCAGGAGTGACAGTAGATGTGTAGTACAAGGAAGGAAATAACGAAACGAGCTAGGGCTGCATTTCAGTCATCAAACCTGTGCAACTCCGCTATTGGGGCACCATTTCGAAAAATCCTCATGGTCATGTTCGTTCTAGATTCCCGCACAACTGCAACACCACAACTAAATTTTGTACCACCAAAGCCCTTCAAAGAAGCACTGACTCAAAATTTTGAAGGCAGGATCACTTGTAATATAGATTAGCATGGGCCTATACATATCGAAAATAGCAGCTAACATAGCATAGAAGATATGTAAAAACATTTTTAAAGTGTATGCTGCACAACTGAGTGCCTGACAGAGCATCTCACGACATAGCCGTGAACTTGGCCAGTAACCATATACGTCATGAGTTTGTGTTTGCTGCTCTTTGCAGGTGTCTTGGTGCAACCACCACCCTGGCATATGACGTCTATTAGGCTCTCGGTAAACGATATTCTGCAGTCACCACTAAGTTTGCAGACAAGCTAGAACTCTGTATTAGCAACGAGCATTTCACCACGTTCAGTCCTGGCCATCCCCACTTTTAACGCTCTGTATTGAACGAAATAGGGGTAAACTCAGTTTCCCGAGCATTTTAGATGTTTCACGCAACATCCACATTATCGCGAAAACTTTGGACTATCAGCACACATTGCATTTATGATGGAGTTTCCTACAAAGGCAACATAGTCTAAAATTTGATGCCAGTCATTCAACGCAGTACTGACAAGAAAATTTTGCAGCTAGTTTTCCTAAAATATACAAAGGCACAGCATCTGCATTTAACAGTAAAACTTATTCGCAATTATTAACGGTAGAAATCACAAGAAATTTTTTCAGGCAAGTTGTATCCATGCATCAAATATTTGCTCCAAACAAGAAGCAAGAAATTTTCCGAATATATGTCAAAGCTATTGGGATTTGAGTGATACAAGTGAACTTGCATACAAGGCTGTACACACTATTTAGAACAAGGCTGGCATCTTGTAACAGTTCTAAAAAGGAATGAACATTTTTTTGAAAGTTGCAGGTGCCTGATCCAGTAGCCATAAGGATGTAAGCATTCTAGTTGTCCATGCAATGACTTCTCACGGCTATAGCGTATGGACAAATGTGAGATTGAGGAACTTCCAACACTTCTGCCTCGAACAGACCACTTTGTAATTAGTTTTCCGACTCTACACTACTATTCTCTTCGCCCCCCTTTATTTTTTTAATTAACAATTTCACAATATAAGTAGTCGCGAAAGCGGGTGAAAGCTATTCCGCACTTTTTCCTTCCTCCGTGCTATTCCGAGTGAACCCGACTGTGTGACGTGAGGCGGCGCTACCTGCTTCCGCCGGCGGCCATACTGGCCCGTTAGAAATTGAATAATTCGTTTTTCATGGCGTACGGCTTGACGCGCTCGCATATCGCGCCCCCGGCTGACGCGACAGAACTACGACTGCCGCCCAGGGAGATGGCGAAACAAAAATAAAAGAGAGGCCACGCACACTTGCGCGACACAGAAGACTAGGCGCGCGCGGCACAGCGTCGGAAAGCGCACGCTCCCACTTTCGTCTGCAAGACCGCGCGGCAGGAGGCACCCACCTTAGGAGCCGAGTCTTTTCCCAGCACAGCGTCGCTTTCCAGCTCCGCCGAGGCCACTTCGGCGAGCATTGTCAAAAGCGGCACAGGGCCGAAGTTCTTCTTAGACTCTTCTCCGTCCATCTCGACGTCTCCGGCGCCGTTGACGGCCTTCCGCGCAGTGCTAGGAATCATAGCGCACACCGCGCCTTGTGTGTGCGTTCTGAAACAATAAAAAAAAAACGTAACTGAGACTTGCGAAAATGTTCGCAGCACGGCCGAAACATGTCACTTTAACATGTCATGAGTTGACAGAAAACAGCGTATCCGCGCACTGACGCCGAGCGCGCAGGCAAGCGACAGCGGCACAATGCATCAGCTGGCGAGTCAGACTGCGCGACGATTGATGCAGACGCGCCATGTCTTCTGCACGAAATTTTAGGCCTAGAAACCGAGAGTCTAGGCCTAAGGCCCGCTTTGGGGGCCCCCCAACTCGAACTTGCGATTAGCGATGAAGCATTGACGATCGCTTATTTTACCAAGACTTATCGAATGTGGAGCGGCTTCGACCTTTGTGAACGTCGCTTCGGCGACGATCGCCGATGCGCTCGACACGAACGATGAAGCGCTGTGTGCGCCAGAGCAGCGCTAGCTAGCAGTCGACACACAAAAATAAACTGCGACAGGAACACCGCGCCAGAGTACAGCAAGCATGCACGACTGCAACAAACAGCTGGCCCGAGTGCTTCTTTACTCTCTTGAGCTAACGGACCGTCATACATCCCGTGCTAGCGCACTTTGGAAACATTTCTGCTAACGGCTACCCATACAAAACGACGCCATCGTCTGTCATGCTCGTCTGCTATGTTCGCGCGCGTCGTCGCAGGTCGAATTTACGCACAGCTTACGCACACCTTTGACAAGCATTGAAAGCCGCTCACCTTGGCGAAAGCCTCGGTGTTAGCGCAATCGCATATTCGTAACTCAGATAGTTACGACGACGTTATATTGGGTTTAAAACGAACGATTCCACCACACTTGTTTCTTTCCGGCGTGGTGAATTATGGGAAGGCCTTTGACAGCAGACGCTAGGTGGATGCTAGTCACTTGAAATGCTGATACGAAACCAATCAGCTGTCGCAACAAGTAAACCAAAAACGTCACTTTAGTAATATTCACAACTGCCATGAAAAATATTTTGCAATTTTTTGTCAAATTACAACAAAAAGAAATGTTAGGTTGTTTTATACTTTTTATAGTTGCAGGAACTGTTTTAACGTCTAAATAGTTTGAAACTTCGCCGAAGCGGCGCTGTCGTCTCCTTCTGCCAGTTCTCAAAATAGCCGCAAAGTGACGACACCGTGCAAGGCGGGTTCCAGTGTTGTGTGTGGACTGTGTGTGTTTCTTCATCGGGTTTTCTTGATTAGTGAATGTGCTCCTTCATCTCAAGGTGTTGCCCGTCCCGAAACGCCGAGCTAGCGGACGACCCAGTGACGGCAAGCATTCCGACGTCGCCCCAGCGGAGGATGGCGATCTGTTGACGATCCCCGGTGATGCGAGTAAGCGTTTACAAGATCGAACTTGGCCCCTCTCGTAGAAGCGCTCATTCAGTGTTTCCTGCCTATTTAGACACGCCGATAGCCCACCCACACAAACGATGCGAAATGCGTTGTCTCTCTTTTTTTTTTTTTGCTGCTCTTTACGGCGCCGATCTGTCGCCGAAGGGACGCGAAAAAACAAATAAAAACCCCGCGACGGGCTTTCTTCTGATGTAGCGGTTTAGTCGGGCGCATTATGATCGTGGTTTCGCCTTTACGGCGACGCCTTGCGATTGAGCAAAAATTCAGTCTGATGAAACGCGCCGCTAGGCTATCGCGGGATGTCGGCGAACGGAAACCTTGACCCACGTCGGAATTAAAACAGCGCGAATATGTTTCTCTTCGCGTTCCGTTTTGTCCGACTCGCAGTGTGCATGTCTGATATGGCTTGCGGAAACGTATATTCCAAGTTCCTTTTTAAGAAGTGTAAGACAGAGAACACAGCGCGCGAATGTCGCTCGTCTTCGTAACGCATCTCGGTGCCGAGTGTCCCGTACCCAAAACGCCTCGTGACACGGTCTGCAGAGCTCACAAGCTGCTGCCAGTCAACAACACCCGATGCGGTCACGATCTGACATTCGCTCGTCACGCGGGTTTCGGAGTTTTTTTGTTTTTTTTTTTTTTCTGCGCTGGTCGTAGCTCCACATGTGGTAGGTCGCGGCAATGTGTTTTTTCGCGCGTGATCGAGCTGTGAGTTAGTTACTTGATCTGTGGTTGGCTAAACGAAACTGACAATAAGCGCACGTGACAAGTGTCACAGAATGATGACATGTCAATCGATAATACATCTCGCGCGGGTGTGCAAACAGTTTTCTAGGGCCATGGTGTCATATAGTTAGACTGTATTTTCACCGCTGAAAATCCACTATGCTTGCTTTAGGTTTCGCTTGTCAATAATAATATACTTTAGATCTCTATGCCTGCTATAAATATTAAGCACGTTGTTTTGTTTAATGTATGTTGCCATTTGCATTGTGTTAGCATATCTCGGTGTTGTGTCGCATTATTATGATTACAATTCATCAGTTTGTTGTGGCGAGATCTGCAATCCTTGTGTGATTGTGGCGACTCGTGCATGTTTGTACTATGACAGCTAGTAGTGAGCTTAGTGTGTGCCACCAAAGTACAATAGTTATCTCACAGCTTTTTTTTTTAATTTTCAGTGATTTTTGCCGATATGTTAATGCTTACGGATTCGGTCTTGCAAGTACTTTATTTATCTAAGCTTTAATTTGCAACTGAAAGGAACGACTTACATTTGAAACATGGCCAGGTGTGACTTGTAAGAAGAAACTTTAGTATCAAATAATGTGATGTCAATAAATAATGTTGTGCTGCGACATTGCGAAAACTGTTAATTGCTCAGGGACAGATGTTTCACGGTCACATTTCTTTCATATTCATACGTTGTTGAAAAAGTCTTGTTGCATCGAGACTTCGAGACAATGTCTACGTTGCCAGGGCTGTCGTTTCGAAACCGCATTCACCATCAAATTAAGATATTGGAAAATTTGTAATGCCACACTCTTGCACCATTTTCGATGACGCAAGGTGTAACGTTTGGAAAGCAACTTTAGTTTCAAATTAGGATGATGTCAGTAAATTCGGCCCCATCATAAGAATGCCGATGACATATTGTTCTGGCATTCAAAACCAACTTCAATTTTATTAGTTCACATGTTGGCAGACTCTATGTCCTCCTAACATCACAACTGTGTCACTGAAACCAGCTGTAGCATTTCCACACCAACCTTGCATGAAGTTATGGCAGCATCATCAAATTTTGCCGGATCGTCACGACAGACAGCGTTGATGATGTCTGGTCTGGTATATTGATGCTCACTTCATTATCAAGTCAAGATATAAGCATTTCTCTGTCATTAAATGTCAATATAACTGAGACTATTTCATGAGAGACAAAGATGTGAAAGAGTTAGGGCAGATTTAGAAATAGGCATCAGAGCTTGGAATAACTTGGAGGTGCTTTTTTTTTTCTTCAAAAAAAAAAAAACTGTTATACTAATACTTTTCTGTTACCAAATGTGACAATCATAAAAAGAACACATGTGGGGCTGAGCTGAGCTAATACATCATCATGCTTAGGTATAAGTGACAAAAAGTATCTGTACAGTAGGAATAAAAATGTGACAGTTTCATTCTCTCCACTGTCAGCATTTGACAGTTTTAATCTCTTCGTGAGCGGTCGACCGAAAAATAAAACTTGCCTCGGGTAGCCGTCTGGAGTATGTCACGGGTTGGGTGATAAGAAGTACATTGGAAGATAAACAATATACTTCAAAGGATTAAAAAAAAAAAAAGCAAGAAAATATGTAGGGCTACAAACTTGTGTGTCTTTGCTGCGGACTTCTTTTAAAATAGTGTACTGATGCAAAAATTTTCACTTGTCATTATTTTTGGCACATGAAAGTCAAAGCCCTGAAAACCCTAGGGAACTTGTTGGTAAGGTGGTAGAATGGCAACATATTTTTAAAGCTAGTTTCTGTTCCTACTGTACCCTGATGTCACGGCATCGTTCAAGTTTCTCACAATGTAAGGTACTGTAACGTTTTCATGTCTGCTCCATTGTCAATGCTCATATGACCATTTTAAAGCAAAAGCTGTTTGGGGATCACAAGGGTTGTGTTCGGCACAGAAAGATTTGAACCTGGGTCTTCTCAGTGCCAGTCTTGTATTCTACCACGGAGCCACGCTGATGCTTGAAACTTCATTGCAAACAGACCCTAGGTAGGCTTCATGTCAGCAAAGGAATGTGTTTACCTGATTGATAAAGCATTATATAACAGCAAAGAAACAACCTGGTATCACAATGGCAAATCGCAAAAAGTGGGTTGTCGAGTGCACCAACCCATTATTCCAGCCCCAGGCATAATTCCTCATTGTCATCAGGCACCAGCATTGAAAAATTGCAGAAACTTCTTTGCAAGTGTTTAACAAGTACCACGCTTCCTTGAAGATTGACAAGGTGTGGTGTAATGAATGCCTACCTGCTACACAAACACTATAATGATTTGTGGCGTGGCAGGTACTGTGCAAATTTGTTTGCTTGTAGCAGTTACCCAAAGAATGCTTAGAAAATGCTCTAGAAAGTCTGCTGTTTCAGCTTTCGCTCTGACTGTGCTGCATGTTCTGCATAGGCCTGGCGGTTTTTTGCTCATTTTGCTTCTAAACTCCTTGCGGGTTTTTTTACTCCATCTCATCTAAAACTGTGCTTGGGACAAGACACCAGAGTATAAGCAGGCAAAACAAACTGCAGTCTTGTTTTTTCTGTCTCCTTCTACTCTGGTGTCTCATCCCAAGCACAGTTTCAGTTTACGCAATGCGTCTAACCAACTATCTCCCGAACACATGCTTCTGGGCACCTGACGTGATCACAGCTGGCCGCCCTATCATGTGAAGTTGCCTAAATTGGACACTGTTGCCTGACGTCATCATGCCAGGGCCTGTTGTCAATTGGTGCGCTTTGTAAAAATCGACTTTAATGTCTGTATAAAATATCCACTCGACATTCACTGAGCTAAGACATGAAACAAACAGTGCGTGACACCGGACAGCGAGAGAATGAGCGATGAAAGTGCTGATGCTCTCTCATCATCGTGTGTCCAGTGCTGTTTGTTCATGTCTTAATCGTACCAACCAGCTTACCTAAGTTCGCTTCTGATTTTTTAAGGTTTACACACTTGCTCTGAGGCATCTCTGTATGCAGATTTGTATGCTAGACTAAACTCGGCTTCAGAAATTTAGTCTCAGTGCCTATTTAAATGTGATTCAATGTTAATAACATCACAATCGTGAGAGATTCTAGGTAAAAAGAAAAGAAGGAGAGGGTTGGGACAAAGTTGAGAAGACAGTAATTGTATTTTCTCTGTAACATTATCCCTCTTTATCTTCTTCTGGGCTAAATGTTTTTGTTCATTGTCAGTTCCCACACATAGAGTGTGCAACAGAGCCTGTTGATGGGTGTCCGATTTGTGCAGGCCACCTTTGTAAAAGTATTCACTCGAATTTGGCGCCAACTAAGAGTTGGGCTGGTATGCACCTGACAGTGAAAAGCATTTGGGTGTAGTTGTTTATACACCAAACAATTTTTTCTGATGGAATATGAGTATGTTGCTACTGTGATGCTACTGTCGAGAATGCCACCTGTCAGTTGAATCAAGCAACCGCGAATATTCTATTCATGTATTTCAGTATAGCCTAATTGATACATTTTTGTTCATAGAATTTTTCTTGTGCAAAAATGTTCCAAAAGCCTGGTTAGTTTCTCATGCCATCATTATCAAGTGAGCTGCTCAATGATTTAGCAAATCTGGACTTTACATCTTCTCATATAGATCCTTTCTTACCTCCATTTTCAAAAACGAATTAACAAGGTTCTTTTGCATTCATTTATATGTTTGAATGCTCATTCATGTTACGTTCGTAACCATAGGACCCTGTCACTTTTGTCACATCTCAATTCAGCAAACCTCTGTAACCCGTCACTGCGTAGAAAAAAGGGGGCAGCTCTTGTGTTCTGCGCAACAGTAGACAGCACTGCACCGCTTTTATTTGCCTGAATGTTAGCTGGCCTCGTTATGTGAGTTTTAAATAAGAGGGTGGTTCAAAGCTGCCCATCCATTAAAACGGCTCTGCCATGATTCTTCATTCCTAAGCCACTGCATGAACTGAATATAAAGCTACATAAAGAACACCTATGTAGATGCACGGCTATGTAGGTGCATAGCTACGTGCACCAATGCAGGAACGCAGCCACGTAGTGTAAAGCTATGTAGTACATAGCTACGTGCACAGCTATGTAGGTGAGGTGCACAGCACAGCTGCATAGGTTCACACTTATGTGACCTGTGTTGGTACACAACCATGTAGTACACAGCTACATGCACCAGTGTAGGTACACAGCCACGTAGTGCACAGGTGCGCAGCTGCATAGTGTTGCGACA